ATAAATCTCACCCCCTCTCTCTCTCTCTCTCTCTCTCTCTCTCTCCTGTATGTGAGAGAGAATGTGAACAGAGGTAATAAAAAAAAATTGAGTTCAACCTCTATACTTTTGTCTACAACAAGGTTAATATACAGTGAACTTCATCTTCTATTTTGAGAATGATGATATGATATAAAACACAGGTAATCAAAAAAAATGAGTTTAACCTCTATTTTGAGAATGTGAACAGATACCTGAACGAAGTGAAGTTGAACGAAGTTGAAGTTGAAGTTGAAGTCGAAGTTGAATTTGAATTTGAGTCCTCAGAGAAGAGTCAGCAGAAGCACCATTGTTGCGATTTTCGAAGCTTCCAAGAACTGCGGTTTTGAGCATGCAGAGAGAGGATCGATTGGAGGGGTCGCCGAAGCCGAAGAACTTCGCCGGAGAAGAAGCTCTGAAAGCTGGGTTGAAGATGGCTAGCGACGGCTGATAGGCGAAGTCGAAGATTTAGGGATTTTGATCCAAATGATTCAAAGTTTGAGGGACTTCATAGATTTAGGGATTTCGAAGAATTAGGGATTTCTATCGAAATCACCGAGTGCCAAAATTGGGGAGAGCGAGGCAAAAGTTTTGTCATTATTTTTTTTGCGACGGTACATTTTAAACCGTCGCAAATGGTAATTACGTATTGCTAAACCGGTTCGTTTTTGATATTTTTTTGCGACGAACATTTTTGCCGTCTCAAATGACTAACTATTTGCGACAGAAACATTCTGCCGTCTCCAAAACAATGTTTTTATTGCGACGGTAAGCAATGCCATCGCTAATAATCCCATATAATGACACTCCCCGTACAGTTTATTGTCGACAGTAAAACTGCCGTCGCTAAATACCTTTTTTAGCGACGGGTTAATCTGCCGTCGCAAAAAGGTCATCTTTTGCGACGGGAAACAGGCCGTCGCGAAAGCTTCCGTCTTTTCTGCCTCCTTTTCTTGTAGTGATACAATCTCTGAATCATGGAGTACTCAATGCGCTCAATGTCGTTAATTTCATCCCTGTCATAGGTGTTAGGTCCCTATGTTGTCAAATCCGGAGACAAAACATTGTGTTGATTCAAATGTAATTTTTTTGTGTTTTTGTTCTGTCCGCTCGAGCGTAGACTTGTGAGCTCGAGCATAGATTAGCAGGTCTCAGTAGTTTGTCAGGGCAAGCAACAAATACTAGTGGGTGTGATTTTCCGCTCGAGCGGATTATCCTACGCTCGAGCGCATCTCAGTTTGTTTCGCACGCAGTTTTTGGTCAGTCCGCTCGAGCGGGCTGTGTTGAGCTCGAGCGGAGATCGCGGATCCAGATTCCTATTTAAAGCTGTTAAGGGTGTTTTTGTGATTCAGTTTTTCCTAGATCTGATCTAAACGAACTAAGGTTGTGTTTAAAGTTTTCTTTGGAGATTTTTCATAGTTTTCCTTGATGTTCTTGAGAGAGTTCTGAACTTATGCATTGAGATTCATACATCAAGGAGGTTGCTTCTTAAGTTACAAGAAAGTTCTTTTCGGTGGATTCCGAAGATTAAAGCGTAGAATTCAAAAGGCGTTTGATTCTACGCAGTCGTTAATTCGACAAGTGGAGTTGTGGTGTGGAATCAACTTCAGGATCAATTCCGTGACGAAGGTGTGGTGAAAAGAGTTACAGAAGATTCAGAGACAAATTGACTGGGTTGGGTAATTTGTATTGTTTCTTTGTAATCTTTTTGTTCTTCAGTAGTGGATTGATAGTGGCGTTTCGCCCGTGGTTTTAGATTACAATTGAAAGTTCTTCAATTGTGGTTTTTTCCACGTAAAAAATCGTTTGTGTCGATTTATTGTTTATTCTCAAAAACAAACAAACTAAAATCACTCTCGTAAGTGGTTGATGATTTTAGGTTGAGAGTTTTTGAATTAATTGGGTTTTGGAATAAGTTTATCTTGATCTAATCACAAATCACGTAGGATTTTCAATAGGCAACCACAAATTCATACAATCAGCACAAAGTAATCTTTAGGCATTTTATGCTTCTAAGGCCATTTTAAAGCAAAACCCATTTGAATAGACAATCTTAGATATCTCAGGTTCAAGACAATAAATGGTTTATGTTGTTCAAATATAATCACGTTGAAAAAAACAAATGATTAATCTTCTTCAAATAATTTGTTTCATCAATTTGTGCTGCTAGTATATGAATTAGCTGAAGGTTTGACATGCTGATCATGACATGGTTACCATTTAGTAACTATGTTGTTCTTGAAAAATCGGTATTTATGCACTATTGATGAAACTATGAGACGCAATGAGAGCTATAAAAGCTAAAGAAGTAGTCAATGATATTGAAATAGATGCACCAGTGTGAAACTAAACCACATACTTGTAGAATTTTTCATGAATTAGTTCTGATTTCCTTGCGTTCAAACCATTAACAGATTAAGAAAATGGTTACAATAATCCTATCATGATATGCGGGATATATACTTGGCAACATGTGGGTTTTGGATAAAGGAAGCATACACAATCAATAGTAATTGCAGGCATAACAAAAAGAGAAAATAAATTTGTATTCTTTTATTTCTTTGTAATTAGGCACAATTTTAAGAGTAAAATTAGAAATGTAATTAACTTATTTGATATTGTCAACAATTTTTTTTTTTTTTTAAACGATAAAGTAACAAAAGATGGAATTAGGGAATTTATAATAAAAAACTAAATCTTAAGGGAGGTTTCTATCATTTCACAATTCTTAGGGGAGGTTTCTGCAATTTGATTAAACCTTAGAGGAGGTCACTATAATTTAAAACTAAACGTCAAGGGAGCTTATTGTATTTCATCCAAATCTTAAGAGAGATCATTGTAATTTACCCTAACTATTATTATGAATATCCAACAACTTTCTGTTACTTCAATCATATCAATGGTTACACAATGCCAATGGGCAGTGGTCACTTTCTGTTTTGATGGATTTCAAATTGGAAGATTTATTTAGTACAAGCCTTTCTATTATTTGACAACAGATCTTTGAAGTACTAAAATGAAAACAAATAATCAGCAACAATGACAGCTAAAATATGTTCAGCTAACATGGATTCTTCCACCAATAGCAAGAAATGACAGCGAAAGTTGAACTCCTAATCATGTATCATATAGAACATTTCAAAACTAATCACATTTTTCTCTAGTCTCTACTATAGGAGGTAGCTAATCCATAAGCATTTCATGGTGAATGATTGCAACTTTTATAGCTTTAGAATCTTAGTCCAAGTGTCAGTCCAATAGTTTTATCATATAATATACATAATGACGTAGAGTTTTAGAAATATGAATCAAATATTTAGTGAAAGGTTTAAAACTTGAAGCAAGAGTGTTTTACATGTTTATTCATATATATATATATATATATCATTGTTTTTTTTCTTAGTGGGCTCGTTAATCAAGCTTCAACACAATCATCATAAAGGCACTAAGTGGTGATGCAGAGTGACATCAAATTGAATGGATTGAATTAGGTGTTTCACGTTTTTGTTTGGGCATTTCATTTTTATTAGGGATTATTAAAATTTACACTTGAGTGAACGGCCATTTAATTACACTTAATTAAAAGCTTAAAATTAGTTTAAGGTCATCCTATCCTATTATGAATATTTTTTTTTTTGGTATGTGAGAATTTCATTAAAAGAAACAAAGAATACAAAAATCAAGGGAGGCATACCTTTCAAATACCAAAATCAAGAAAAACAAGAAGCAGATAGACTAATGTCCAACGATTGAATAACTCAAACATTTACAAATCTTTAGAGAGAAGAAGAAAAAAAAAAACAATAAACAATAAACAAGCACTTACAGATTGATTTTTGGAATATGTGCTATCTTATACCAATCCTCCCCCTTTTCCTTTTGACATCGCCTTACCAATTCAGGGCAGGATCTATAAATGGTCAAAGTTTGGAGGTTGGTTAGCCTTTGAAAGCCATGTGGAAGTGATGGAATCTTGGGACTGCCACTAATGGACAACGATTGAAGTGACGTAAGGTTTCCCAACCATTTAGGCAGTGATGTGAGCTCTGGATACCCAGAAATAGATAGAGATTGAAGTGCAGGGACATGTTTCAATGCTTCGGGCAAAGTCTTCAACTCTGCACAAATAACAAGATCATTTGAATACATGGATCTGGGATGACCACAAATATGTAGGTGTCGAAGAGAAACAAGATGTTTAATGCTGTCTGGCAAAGTCACTAGCTTGGGACACCCACTAACATTCAATTCCTCCAAGGCAGTGAGGTGTCCCAAACTCTCAGATAAATAACTCAATTTATAGCAGTGGTCAATCGTCAGACGTTTGAGAGACTTTAGGCTTCGTAACCCATGATCTGGCAAAGACTCAATCTCATGACAACCCCAGATACTCAATGATTCAAGAACAGTTAGGTTTTGCAACATCTCTTCTGGAAAAGAAACCATGTCCCGGACATGAACGGAAAGGGTAGTGAGATTCTTAAGATTTGAGATTGAACTTGGTACCACGTTGCTGGAGCTCGAGACATTCAAGAGTGTTGGTGATGAAAGACACGGCAAGGTCAATTTTGGGCAATTGCGGATGTCTATCTGGTGAAGACAAGGGAGTAGCTCTCTTCCTTCCTCCCTTGACAACCCTACCAAATTCGGCAACTTAGAAATACGGAGTACTTCCAAAGCCGGAAATCCTCTAACTGGGCTTTCGCCAGGGAAGTAATTGTCAATGTACTCCAGATAATCCATTTTGGAAATATAAAGCTGTTGCAGGGAAGGCAACTGTCCAAACGCTGGAAGTAGTAAACAGTTTCTGCAGCTACGTAGCTCAATAGAAACTATGTTTTTAAGAATTGAATCCCTCATCCAAAGTGGGAAGTGGGCACCTCTGTAATCGTCTATGAACAACTCTTCAACATTTGGGTGAGGTTCCAGGGATTCAAGTAGTTGTTCAACATTTGCTTGCGATTCTGATTCACTGTTATATCCCCATGATAACTTCAAGATTCGGAGGTTCTGTTTTCCGACCAAATTGGCTTCTTTGGCATCCGTTGAGTTTCTCACTCTCTCAAGGTGACGGATACACAGTTCTCCCCCAAGATCTAAGCATTGCAATTCAACTACCCGATGACCTCTACTCTTACCCACGATAAATAAACTTAATGTCCTCAGGAGAGTTAAATGCCCAAGCTTTGGAGGCATGTCCTGTATTTTTCTACAACCTTTAAAATAAAGATGTCGGAGGTTTCTTAGGGATTTCATGTTCTTGGGCAGCCTCTGAAGATTATAACACCCATTCAGGTTTAAAGTCTGCAAATTGTGAAGGCTACAAATTGACTTTGGTAGTGTACGAATGAGAGTTTTAGAAAGGTTCAAGTACGTCAGATGTTTTAACTTACCAATTGAAGATGACAGCTGCCCCATGTTGGTGCCCAATGCATCGAACACTCGTAACGAACCAAAATTTGTGAAGTCACAAGAAAAAGAAAAAGAACTACCAGAGTAAGTGTTTGGCTGTCTATATTGTAGAAGAATTGTATGTAAGGATTCAACTCTATATAATGCTTTAGGAAAGACAACTGCGTGCTTATAGTCAGCAACCAGTGTAACATGATGAATTCTTTGCGCTGATATATTCGTTGAGCTTTTAGCCTCCATCATATGACATTCATCTTCCATAACGGATTGGGCAAGATCGTGCATAAGATCATGAATTTTGAAAATAATGTTGCCAGATGGATATTTGTCCACGTCTTGGAAAAAAGATCTCCAATATAACTCATTCCACATACCATTACCAATATCTTCTAACTCCGATTTTCCGTTGGATGAAATAAAGCCATTAGCCATCCAAAGATGAATGAGTTTTTCCTTTTCAATTTCAGAACCTTTTAGAAAAATGGCACAGTAAGCAAAACACCGTCTCAATTCCAATGGAAGGCTATAGTAACTTAATCTTAAGAGGGGCAAGATGGAATTTTTGTCTTGGGGTAAGTTCCAAATTTCACTTTCTTTAACAAAATGCCAATCTGTTTCCTCACTTTTGAAGCGCATTAGCCCTCCAAGGGCCTTCGCAGCTAAAGGCACACCCCCACACTTCTTCACTATCTCCTTCCCAATGGCCACAAGGTTTGGATGCTCTTCATTCCTGTGTCCAAATGCTCGTTGCTTGAACAACAACCAACAATCTTCATCAGATAAAAATGACAAGTGATGTGCTGGAACAGTTCCCATGATTGATGCTACCTTTGCAACACGAGTAGTAACGATAATGGAAGCGCCTTTTGATCCACATGCTAGTAAATACTTTAGCCCATCCCAGTTGTCTTGATCTTCATCCCACACATCATCTAATACAAGCAAATACCTTTTCCCATTTAGCATCTCTCGAAGCTTTTTCTGCAAATAATCTAGGCTTGAGGCTTCACAGATTTTCCCAGTTAGGGATTTGATTATTGCTTCTATCACCCTTTTCACATCAAAATCCTGAGAAACATAAACCCAAATTTTAAGCTCAAAGTGGCACTCTACCCTCTCATCGTTGAAGACCATTTGGAGTTTCGAGGAAACTACATTGGGTTTCATTTTTCCAAGTTGCATCTGACTTTTGATGCAATGGGGATGCACTTTTATTGGAGTTTCGAGGAAACTACATTGGGTTTCATTTTTCCAAGTTGCATCTGACTTTTGATGCAATGGGGATGCACTTTTATTGGAGTTTCGAGGAAACTACATTGGGTTTCATTTTTCCAAGTTGCATCTGACTTTTGATGCAATGGGGATGCACTTTTATTGGAGTTTCGAGGAAACTACATTGGGTTTCATTTTTCCAAGTTGCATCTGACTTTTGATGCAATGGGGATGCACTTTTATTGGAGTTTCGAGGAAACTACATTGGGTTTCATTTTTCCAAGTTGCATCTGACTTTTGATGCAATGGGGATGCACTTTTATTGGAGTTTCGAGGAAACTACATTGGGTTTCATTTTTCCAAGTTGCATCTGACTTTTGATGCAATGGGGATGCACTTTTATTGGAGTTTCGAGGAAACTACATTGGGTTTCATTTTTCCAAGTTGCATCTGACTTTTGATGCAATGGGGATGCACTTTTATTGGAGTTTCGAGGAAACTACATTGGGTTTCATTTTTCCAAGTTGCATCTGACTTTTGATGCAATGGGGATGCACTTTTATTGGAGTTTCGAGGAAACTACATTGGGTTTCATTTTTCCAAGTTGCATCTGACTTTTGATGCAATGGGGATGCACTTTTATTGGAGTTTCGAGGAAACTACATTGGGTTTCATTTTTCCAAGTTGCATCTGACTTTTGATGCAATGGGGATGCACTTTTATTGGAGTTTCGAGGAAACTACATTGGGTTTCATTTTTCCAAGTTGCATCTGACTTTTGATGCAATGGGGATGCACTTTTATTGGAGTTTCGAGGAAACTACATTGGGTTTCATTTTTCCAAGTTGCATCTGACTTTTGATGCAATGGGGATGCACTTTTATTGGAGTTTCGAGGAAACTACATTGGGTTTCATTTTTCCAAGTTGCATCTGACTTTTGATGCAATGGGGATGCACTTTTATTGGAGTTTCGAGGAAACTACATTGGGTTTCATTTTTCCAAGTTGCATCTGACTTTTGATGCAATGGGGATGCACTTTTATTGGAGTTTCGAGGAAACTACATTGGGTTTCATTTTTCCAAGTTGCATCTGACTTTTGATGCAATGGGGATGCACTTTTATTGGAGTTTCGAGGAAACTACATTGGGTTTCATTTTTCCAAGTTGCATCTGACTTTTGATGCAATGGGGATGCACTTTTATTGGAGTTTCGAGGAAACTACATTGGGTTTCATTTTTCCAAGTTGCATCTGACTTTTGATGCAATGGGGATGCACTTTTATTGGAGTTTCGAGGAAACTACATTGGGTTTCATTTTTCCAAGTTGCATCTGACTTTTGATGCAATGGGGATGCACTTTTATTGGAGTTTCGAGGAAACTACATTGGGTTTCATTTTTCCAAGTTGCATCTGACTTTTGATGCAATGGGGATGCACTTTTATTGGAGTTTCGAGGAAACTACATTGGGTTTCATTTTTCCAAGTTGCATCTGACTTTTGATGCAATGGGGATGCACTTTTATTGGAGTTTCGAGGAAACTACATTGGGTTTCATTTTTCCAAGTTGCATCTGACTTTTGATGCAATGGGGATGCACTTTTATTGGAGTTTCGAGGAAACTACATTGGGTTTCATTTTTCCAAGTTGCATCTGACTTTTGATGCAATGGGGATGCACTTTTATTGGAGTTTCGAGGAAACTACATTGGGTTTCATTTTTCCAAGTTGCATCTGACTTTTGATGCAATGGGGATGCACTTTTATTGGAGTTTCGAGGAAACTACATTGGGTTTCATTTTTCCAAGTTGCATCTGACTTTTGATGCAATGGGGATGCACTTTTATTGGAGTTTCGAGGAAACTACATTGGGTTTCATTTTTCCAAGTTGCATCTGACTTTTGATGCAATGGGGATGCACTTTTATTGGAGTTTCGAGGAAACTACATTGGGTTTCATTTTTCCAAGTTGCATCTGACTTTTGATGCAATGGGGATGCACTTTTATTGGAGTTTCGAGGAAACTACATTGGGTTTCATTTTTCCAAGTTGCATCTGACTTTTGATGCAATGGGGATGCACTTTTATTGGAGTTTCGAGGAAACTACATTGGGTTTCATTTTTCCAAGTTGCATCTGACTTTTGATGCAATGGGGATGCACTTTTATTGGAGTTTCGAGGAAACTACATTGGGTTTCATTTTTCCAAGTTGCATTTGACTTTTGAGGATGCACTTTTATCAAATTTGATTGGATTTTTTTTGGGTGAAATGTTTCAATAATCACTTGGACTCTTTTTTTTTTCATCCCTTATTCCCTCTTCACCTGATTGGTCATTTTTTTTTTCTTCTTCTCCTCCAATCACTACCTTCCACGTGTGTATGGGGATGGTGGGAATAGTGGGGGTGGTGATTAGAGAGGGTCTCAATCATCACCCGAAATGTTTTTACTCTAAGTTTGCCGCACGATTTCTTCTTGGACAAATTATATTTTACCGTCTTTAACCATTATCGTTTTTTACTTTATTCTCTTAAATTAAAAATTAATACAACGTATATTCTTCATTTTTTAAAAAAATTTCAATCAAACTCTTATGTCTCCATTCTAATAACAAAATTGATAGACAATGTGCATATAATGTGCGCATATCATATTTATAACAGATTTTTTAAAAGTTTATTTTCGTCATAGATATGCCATGTGCATATTACATACACATTGAAAACTTTTAAAAGATGAAGGGAGTACATTATATCAATTTTTAGTTTAATGGGGTAAAATGAAAAATGGTGATAGTTGAGGGGAGTAAAGTGTAATTTGGCCTTTCTTCTTTAGTTTATAGATAGGGTGTGAGTATGGTCTGGATTGGTTCGATTTAAAGTAAAACCATGATCAATCGATTGTCTATGATTCCATAAAAATTGGAACCAAACCAATCCGAACCAAACCATTTAAATACGATTCAGCTAGGTTTGGAACCACAGTTTCATATAATATGTTCACAAAGAAAAATCACATAAATATGCATATTGTTTCACAATTAACGTAAACAAATATATTATCTAGTACATAAACATATTGTTCAACATGTAGCAACTATAAAACTCTCATTAAACAAATATTTTGTCTTTTCTTCTCTTGATTTTGAGGAGACTTAGGATAGTTTGCAAAATGTTTTCTCAATGTACTAGCTCCATTTGCACTAACCCAAGCACAAGAAGCTTTACAGTGGCTATATTTAACACATGAAGCAGTCTTACTCCCTTTTTTATATGGTTTAAGTTACATACAGTCTAGATTAGTTCCAATCTGGAACCGTGAACTCTAATTCGGAATCAATCTGCAGAGAATAGATTCCTAATTTTCCAATTTAGAACCAAACCAGGGATTCAAAAAACCAATCCAAATCAACAGGATTGGACTGGACCGGTTCAAATTGTGAATTTTTCAAATTCCTTACTCAGCCGTATCTATAGAGAAGAAGAAGAAGAGAGAGGTAACAGATAAGAAATATCCAAATTAGCTTTTGTTAAATTTTATAATAAATTATATTTTTAACCTTCAAACTTTTGTTCAAATTTCACTTTAATCCTTTATCGTTTAGAGAAGAATTCCACATTCATTGAAGTTTGGAGGAAACTGCATGGACTTTTGTCATTTTCATATTCCTACTTAGTATTGATGCAAAGGGGAATTGAATTTTTTTTTTTTTTTTTCTTTCAGAATTCATTTGATTGAAATGTTTCTACTCACAAAATTTACCACCTAATTTATTCTGTTGCCTAAAAAGAAAGGGGGGAAATGAGAAAGTCAAGCTGTAGGTTGATTGCTTCATGTTTCTGCATTGTCCTGACAATGAATGGAGGTTTCTTTCTGGTCTATTTTGGTCTTTTGAGGGCTGTTTCCCATTTTCTGTGGAGGTTTTTGCATCCTCCCTTGGGCCTTTTTTCATTGATGTGGAGTGATTCAAATTGAGCTAACATTGTTGGTTTCCAACATTACTTTATTAACATCAACACAAGTTTTGATAGGGAGCAACATTCCATTGCATTACTATGCACCCTATTGACATTTTGGCAACATCAATGACCAAAGGCAATTCGTTTTTCTGTAGTGGCCTAACAAAGAAACAAGTAATCTTTGTTTTTGTGACCGACAATCTTCAAAGTTCTCAGAACTAGATGTTTAAATCATTCAATTTACTCTATCAAAATTGATGCAGCGGAACCGTGTTTCACCACAATTGGAAATAGTGACATGCCTATTTAGGAGTGAAAAAAAAAGTAGAAGAAGAAGTGATGGAAAATTAAATCCACTAATGAGATATATGGGAATGGAATCCCAATGATATATTTGAAGAATATATTCGGAAGAACAAACTATTTTATTTCTTAAATTGTTGGATACAATAAGTATTGTGCTTGCTTCTAGATTCCTTACGTCTCTTCAATCATTATGCATTTGGGACTGCCCCAAGATTCCATTACTGCTTCATAGCTTTCAAAGCCTAACCAAACTCCAAACTTCGAGCATTTATGGATGCAGTCCTAAATTGGCAAGGCGATGTCAAAAGGGAAATGAGGAGGATTGGTATAAGATAGCACACGTTCCAGATATCCATCTGTAAATACATGGAATCTACTCGTTAACCTTGAGTGAGTGAAGTGCAAAAAGGAATGCGCATATTATATGTGAAGATTCCATATAGACCAAGGTAAATTCTCTTTCACTTGTTCGAATGTTTTATAATGCCTGTCGACTATTTCATGCATGCAACATATCAGATTTCATCTGGAGATTTCATTGATTCTTTATTTGAAGAGAAATATCCACATTCCTTTATTGATCAGATATATCTTTCTATATGTTTCTTGAAGATTTTTTGTCAATTTTTAGCGACATATGCAAAAAATCATCATAAAAAATTATTTTTAGCAACAATTTTATTATGACTTATTTTT